AAATCACCAACCCTGTTTATAAATTAATAAAAGCAACATTCTTCTTTATACTGACACTGGCATGCACAGAAAAACTTCCGCAATCAATCATTTTGACTTCAGTTACACATATTTCTTCGTAAATTTAATGCTTTTTACTTTTATTTAGTAAATGACAGGTTGATCAGGCAAGATGGCAAGCTGTATTGCACTTCATGATCATTTATACCGTAAAATGGGGTAACTTTGACCACTTTTCGTTTTTTTTAACAAAAACCCCAAAACTCAGAAACAATTTGACATAGAAAAATTTTGTCAGTGGCCATCAAAGGCCTAATACTGAGGCTACATAACACAATAGAAAGATTTGAAAAGTTTGCATATCTAATAGGTTAAAAAATTAATAATGTGACCCACAAAAAAGAGCTATTATTTAAAGCCTGTCGGAGTACCCCCTCCAATTTTTTTATTTTTTGGTAAAATAACTCCAGGTTTTGATGCATTGTAGTAGAACTCTTCTAGTTACATATGCAAATGACAAATTTTAGGAAAGTGTCATAGTTTGCAAATGGGGGGCGCCGCCCTCCAATGGGGGAACTTTGACCACCTAATGGCAGCCATGATGGGGTAACATTGACCAGCTTGGAAATTAATATAAAATTACCATATATAACATATTTTATGTTTGATACGTACAAGTTTTAAACTGAAATACCCAGTAAAATTAAGAAATACTTGAGGAAAAGCAAAGTAGTATTTCTAAAACCTATCAGAAATCATTTGATCATGACCTATGGCACAGTTCAAAAAGATAAAAATAGAAAAAGTCATTGGCTAATGACACTTAACTAGTTGAAGATTATTAACACTTCACTTGAACTAAATGAGGAGAGGATGCAACTCAACTGTCGCAGACCGAGTTCTTGTAAAAATAAATAGAAAACAATTTTTCAATTCAATTAGAATTTTGTTGTTATATTATATTTTTAAATAATCTCATTATATGTTTGATATTTTTTTCTAAATAATAATAAATCATACCAAATTATGACGTATGCTAAATTTACATATAAACATTTATAGATATAACATGATTTCCAAATTATTTTTAGATGAAATATCCAGAGTTTCAATAAAATAAAAAAGAATTATTGGATCCTAATTTCTATTATCATTTGCAAATTATTGGTCGAATAATTGGTATAGGTAACATGATTCGCTATTATTGTATTTGATATGATAGTGTTTGCAATTAGCCCTGCCACACATCGAGGTAAGTGAGCCCTGCCCAATCGGTCTGCCGGACTTGCAGCTGGTTTCCAAATATAATATCCCACTTCAATGATCAAGGAATATCTCTCAAACTAATGAAGCAGCTCCATGGAACTTGGTACGCATATTCATTAGAACCTAACTGTGATGTCACGTGCTGAACATTGCTGTTAAGGGGGGGGTTAGAAATGTATATTCAAACCTTCCTTCAAACCTATTCAGTAGTTTATTAGAAACGTCAGGTCTTGGACAAATTTACGGCCAGACTTGCAGCCGGTGTCGCAGCCGGTCCCACAGCCAATCTCCAAATTCAGTGATCAAAGAATATTTCCCAAAAACAATGAACGCAGCTCGATGAAACTTGGTTCTACTTGTAGTAGAACTCTACAAAGAGTTCTACTACAATGCACTACAACCTAGAGTTATTTGGAGTTATTTTACCAAAAAATAAAATTGATTTTACCACCCAGTTAAAGAAACCCCAAGAGCTGGGGTAACAAAGACCATCACTTTTTTTGAAATTACATAAAGACTATGAGAGGCAGGAGCCAGCAATTTATGGTGACTGAAGCTAGAGTATAGACCTGTATTTTGCATGTTTCAATTCAAGTTTAATTTGGCTATTAAAAAAATGGCATCATTTATAAAAATAAGTGGTCTAAGTTATCCCATTTTACGGTTCTCTTCACACACTGCATCATCTTATCATCACAACTGATTTCTAGACAAGGCAACCAACTTCACTGCCTCCCCGGCTCCCCCTCCTGATCTATCCGATGTACCAGAAACCTTACTGTGTGCCCTTAACGTCTTCCAGATTTGCAATAATTTAAATAATTTCAAAGTAATTTCTAAATGCAATAATTTTAATCCAAATATGTTGGCAAGATCTTCTGAAGGCATAAATTTTGCTGCTGATGCATTGACAATAAGCAATAATCTTTCGATATTCACTCACTTTCTGCACCCTGGTATGAATGAATAACAAATCGCACCACCAATAAAAGTTTACCATGATGCACATTGCACACCACGTGGCCATTAGCGATTTGATGGAGTGAACTCACTGTGCTGTAATGTCTAATGAAGGCATGTGCCTGTATGACATACGTTCTGTATGTCATACTGTATGGCATATGTTCTGTTCTTTGGTGGGTTAACAGAATTCCAGCTTACAATGTTAAAAACATTTCAATACACACTTGCCAAATATCTCATATTAAAAAGATTACTGGTAAATATAGTCCTAAATATTGGTTGTTTTATTATACACTAAGGGAGCAGAGCCAGTTCAAGAAGCCTCATACGCCACTAATTTTTAGACATCACTAGTGATCTCTTTGTTTGATGTTGTAATGAACTGCATATCTAGTTGAAGCTAATTAAAGTTGTCATAATTTTTGATGAAGGTTTAAAATATATTTTGATTTTTATACCAAGAAACATGTTTTTCTTAGAGAATTTTTTGATTGTCACACTCTTCTAAATATTAAATCTAAGTATTTTGTTGTTTCAAAGACTCCATTGACTATAGAAGTTTAGTTTTCACAAGTGTATTCAAGAACAGATTCTGAAATAGAAGCAACATTTCCATTTGTATATATAAACTGAATTAATATATATGAATGGGATAAATTGAAAATAAAATTTTTCATTAGGTTAATTTTTTATATGGAACTGCATGATTTTTTTAAAGCCATTGATCATTTCTTCTTTTTTTTCATCTTATAAGTGGGGTGTCTATATATTTTTCAAAAAATGGTTTTGGGAAAACTAAATTCAAATTTTTATTGGTCACAGCTAAAAATTGTTTGTTATACCTAAGTTACTTTCTACAAAGATGCCATTCCTCATAAAAGACTCACTCTAATAGTGGTAAGAATTTAATTGAATGTATGAGCAGGCTTGTTTCAGAACAAACCTAGATGTTATTCCTAGAAGTATTCCTAGATGTTATCAATGCTTTTAGGGAAATTTCATTATATTTTTTTCATTGTATTAAATTTCTTCTTCCCATTTAAAGATTCAAATAAACTACAAAATACTAAAGTAAATATTTGTATCCAACTACAGGTAATTAACACATACTTGCCACCTATGTTCCAAAATTTTAACTTCATAAATCAATAAGGATCTTACTTGAGACAAAAACTTGCTTGCTTTAATTAAAATCAAATTTCTTTCAAATATTTCATTTTAGATTACTTTTTTGAGTGGCATTAACCAAGGAGATCTAAAATGAGCAATCACCCGGCCAGTAAGAGGAAGGAGATCTACAAGTACACTGCGCCATGGACGCTCTACAGCATGAACTGGTCCGTGCGACCTGACAAGCGCTTCAGGTACGTCTTCTTCTCCAGCAAATCATACTTGGTTCTTTATTAAACTATTAAAATTAAATGAACTAATTTAATTTAATAGTTCAATTTAAATAAACTATTAATTAAATAAAACTTATTAGGATTCTTCATTAGTGTTATTGTTTTTAGGCTTAATGGTCGCCATTTTTTGTGGAATATAAGAGAAAACTTCTCAAGCAAATCAGGCTGGGTTCTTTTCTTTTTTTTCTTTCTGGGTTAACTTCTTAAAGTGTTACTGAATTCTTTATTAGTGTTATTGTTTTTAGGCTTAATGGTCACCATTTTTTGTGGGGTTCTTTATCATTCTTTATTGAACTTCTTGAATTGTTACTGAATTCTTCATTAATGTTATTGTTCTTAGGCTTAATGGTCACTATTTTTTTGTGGAATATAAGAGAAAAATGCTTGCTCTACAAGCTCATCTTGGAATTTGGTTCCTAAAGTTTTTATAAATTATTTGCCAAATTTACGTATTTGCCTTTTATGCAAGCAAATATTAAGAAAGAATTTATGTTACTGTGTTATTACTGATTGAATATTAAGATTCATATCACTTTGTTATTATTTATTAAATAGGTATTAAGAAAGAATTTATGTTACTATGTTATTACTGATTGAATATTAAAAAATGTAACTCGGTTCTCACTGCAGTGAGTGACAGAGAGCGCATTTTCTCTTCAACAAAAACATGAAGTCACGGACAGACAGACGGACATAATGAGCACAATAGCCCCTTGTTTTCCACAAATGCAAAAATGCGCTAAAAAGAATTCACATTACTATGTTATAACAGATTAAATATAAAGAAAGAATTTGTTATACTTATGTTATTACTGATTAAATATTAAGAAGAAATTTATGTTTCTATGCTATTACTTATTAAATATGAAGAAAGAACTCGTGTTACTTCGTTATTACTAATTAAATACATCATCAGGCTGGCTGTGGGGAGCTTCGTGGAGGAGTACAACAACAAGGTGCAGATCGTGCAGCTGGACGAAGAGACGTCCGAGTTTGCCGTCCGCTCCACTTTTGACCACCCGTACCCCACCACCAAGATCATGTGGATCCCTGACAGTGTGTGTATACATTGCCATTGTTTGGAATTGTGTTACAATTGCTCTGTAGGAATACTGGAATAGTAATAATGTGATTATTATTACAATAATGTAATAGTTAATGTAACTGTTGTGTTAACCTACCTCTGCATGAGGGACTGTACCTGACCTGTAGGAGGGTACCCGGTATGTAAGTACTTTGACCTGCAGCACTGACCTGCCCTTGCAAAGGGACTGTACCTTAACCTGCTCTTACATTGCCATTAACTTACAGAAGGGACTGTATCCGGACCTGCTGGCAACCAGCGGAGACTACCTGCGGGTGTGGCACCAGACAGCTGACGGTGAGGCCCGCATGGCCTGCCTCCTCAACAACAACAAGAACAGCGACTTCTGCGCCCCCCTCACCTCCTTCGACTGGAACGAGATCGACCCCAACCTCATCGGCACCTCCTCCATCGACACCACCTGCACCATCTGGGGGCTGGAGACTGGCCAGGTGGGTGGACACCTCCTGCACCATCTGGGGGCTGGAGACTGGCCAGGTGGGTGGACACCTCCTGCACCATCTGGGGGCTGGAGACTGGCCAGGTGGGTGGACACCTCCTGCACCATCTGGGGGCTGGAGACTGGCCAGGTGGGTGGACACCTCCTGCACCATCTGGGGGCTGGAGACTGGCCAGGTGGGTGGACACCTCCTGCACCATCTGGGGGCTGGAGACTGGCCAGGTGGGTGGACACCTCCTGCACCATCTGGGGGCTGGAGACTGGCCAGGTGGGTGGACACCTCCTGCACCATCTGGGGGCTGGAGACTGGCCAGGTGGGTGGACACCTCCTGCACCATCTGGGGGCTGGAGACTGGCCAGGTGGGTGGACACCTCCTGCACCATCTGGGGGCTGGAGACTGGCCAGGTGGGTGGACACCTCCTGCACCATCTGGGGGCTGGAGACTGGCCAGGTGGGTGGACACCTCCTGCACCATCTGGGGGCTGGAGACTGGNGGCGGCCGCGACATGTTCGCTTCCGTGGGCGCGGACGGCAGCGTGCGGATGTTTGATCTCCGACACCTCGAGCACTCGACCATCATATACGAGGACCCCAGCCACACGCCTCTGCTGCGGCTTGCGTGGAACAAACAGGTGGGAAACAGGGCGTAAACAGGTACAGAATAGGTATAAACAGAGTATATACGTATAGGAACAGAATAGGGTATAAACAGGTACAGAACAGGGTATAAACAGGTAGAGAATAGGGTATAAACAGATACAGAACAGGGTACAGACAGGTAGAGAATAGGGTACAGACAGGTACAGAATAGGGTACAAACAGGTACAGAATAGGTATAAACAGGTACAGAACAGGGTATAAACAGGTAGAGAATAGGGTATAAACAGATACAGAACAGAGTACAGACAGGTAGAGAATAGGGTACAGACAGGTACAGAATAGGGTACAAACAGGTACAGAACAGGGTACAGACAGGTACAGAACAGGGCACAAGCTAAGCACAACTAGAGCCCCAGTCACACCCCAGTCTGTTGCGGCTGGCGTAGAGCAAACAGGTCCCCGCTTGCAGGGAGCAACAACGAATAACTTGACTAACAACAACAACGTCTGCTTGACTACTTTAATTTGGGTTGCTTTTGTTGTACTACTTCTATTAATTGCCTGTAATACTACTATACTGTTTACTGCTATATATTGGCTGTAAACAGGTGCTTTCTTAAACAGCTTCTGACATGTTGAGCTGCTTGGACGCCTTCCTCACTAAACTCCCCTCTCTCCGTCTACCCTCTTACGGCTTAATGCCCCCTTCACGCCCCCCTTACGCCCTTAATGCCCCCTTCACTCCCCCAACGCACCCAATGCCCCCCTAACGCCCTCCTCACGCTCCCAATGCTCCCCTAATATAGGGGAGTGACATCCCCTCACTTCCCAATACGTACGCATGCCCTGTACGCCCCTAATCCCCCCCTAACGCCCTCCAT